AACTGATGGTCGGATTTGGCTCAAATTTTGACTGGATTCCTAAAAAAGGTTGTAGTTTTCGAAAATGATATGGGTTTGACATTAGTGTTGCCACTTGGTGGTTAGGCTCGGGACTTATTGACCGATGTGTTAAATGAGCGTACGCGATCCGCTATTGACGACGCTTGAGTGAAAGATGACCAATGCGTATTGAAATGAAAAGTTATTTATTTGTATTGCCATTGTTCGCAGTGATGCTCAGTGCTCACTGCTCGCGGTTGCATGAAAAAGGCAACAAGTTATATTGTAACATCCAATATTTTCAGTAACCAACACAGATTTATTTATTAAACACAACAATTTATACAGACACTGTATCAGTGTTTACATGTTCATGTAAACGTGGGGATTTTTCCGTATATTTTTTACATAGAGTCTGATTTGTTGCCATGCGACGCTACTTTTGGGATAATTTTGGTAGAGCAAAGGTTTCTCAACGATTTTAGGTTCACATATAATCATTTATTCGGCGGATGTTGTTATGAATTCGTATCAGTCACACTCTGTTTCGTCAGAGGTCACGAAGCTTATCAATATTCAACGAAGAAATTTAATTCTCCAAATTGTTCATATTTTTCAATTTGAATTGTCGACAAAACGCGACAACACTGAAATCATACACGAATATAATTTCAAAATGAAATTTACTTGAATGATAACATACAAACCGGCAGCATAGTACATATGAGCCATAGTAATTCTATACAAATTTCTTTATCTATTTTATAATAAAACCACTAACTTGGACGAATCCAACTCAGTAGTGTGATGATGCTAAAACGTCTAACAAGTGTCCAATAATTTCTTGTGAAAAAAATATGTTCAAGTTTGGTTCTATATTGTTTTTGCTTCACTTCGGTGCATGGATAGTATCAAGTGAAAATGTCGTTAACTCGACTGAGGACACCATGAAGTTTGTGAATGATGCGCAGAGTAAATTGAAATTGGTAGAAAGTCCGAATATAATATTGGTGATCGGAAATTCGGGCTCTGGAAAGTCAACATTTGTTCATTACGTGGCCGGTGACAATAGTAAAATTTGGGCTGAGCAACCGGAAAATGCCAACGAAATGAAAATTCGCGATGAGCTAATCACCGATTTAGGCAATTTCACCTCATCAACGGTATCACGAACACTCGTTCCCGAGCCATGGATTGACGAACAGCAAATTGTATGGTACGATTTCCCCGGTTTTGGTGATACGCGAAGTCGAACGGTTGAAATTGCTACGTCATTTCTTATGAAAAGAGTCACCGAGAGTGCATCAAATATCAAAGTAGTTTTGACCGTGAACTGTGGCTCAGTTACTGACGGCTATGATCGCACAGACTTCGATAATTTACTGTCATCAGCCGTGCAACTCATGAAAAATGTCGACAAATTCGAAAATGCCGTTTCATTAGTTGTAACAAAAGAACCACCACTGATAGTACGTGGAAGGAATAACATTATTGATGTATCGGAGGACAGTGTAAAAGAAAGGGTTGCCAAATTCATCAAGGACCATCGTGTAACCTTGTCGACGAAAGGGTGGAATGAAATGCCAAAAATTCAATTGATTAACTATCTCCTGAAGCAATCGATAAACGATATTGATTATCCTAAAATATCAGTATTCTGGCGTCCCGACGATTTTGGGCCATTAAGTAATTTGACAAAAATGATTGACGGCCGCCAATATATTCGTGAATCAATTGTGAAGCACACAACGTACGCGCAAATTCAGCCAAATGATTTTGGTTTTCCACTGACACCCGATGCGCAGCTTCATATCCTGCAAATGATAGAACAAACGGTTTCGAACACATCAAAGGTCCTAGACAAAATTGGCGACAGTCTAATGAACGAGATAAAACAAAAGATCGAAATGGCCAACAAATGCCACAAAAAATTAGAATTGATTGAATTAGGGAAAAAGTATGCAGAAAGAAACGCTCAACCAAATGCATTTACTTTGAAGCAACTGATCGAACGGTGGAAAGGATTGGTGGATGTGTTCAATGTGACATCGATCGGTATGAAAGTATTCAGCGAAATTGAACAAAATGATCAAAATGTAGTTATATTCAAATCATTACTTCAAAATTCAATAATTGCCAGACCATCATCAGCAGAAATTGATAGCCATGCATTTAACGATAAGATGTTGACCTCTTTTACACAGTTTGAGCGTGAAATTCAAGTTCAAATTTTGAATGCGGTGCGCGAATATCGCAAAAGACTAACGAACATCGTTGACGATTTGATCAAAGCATTAGAAACGAAGCTTGACCTGACTGTTGAATTTCAAGACAAGTTACAATTGTTACAGCTTGGAAAGCAATCTATTGAATCGGACGTAGAGAACAATGAAATGACATTGAAACAGATGACCGAACAACTGAGAAAGTTATGCATTGACTTTAACCTAACCACTATTGAGCAAGTCGAACAGCTTGGAATGGATTTGAGCGAATTGGAATCATGCAGCAAAGGGGGCATTCCAAATGGATCTTCTACCCAGATAGAATTGAATGAAATAGTGGATTACCATTCATTTGTAAGAAAAATCATTGATTTTTTCGCCAACAGCGAAACCAAAACTCAAACTGATATCTCCAGCAAAGCTCATGAAACAATTGAACACATTTCTGACATTTTGACGAAAATCGATCGTGAACTACGTGACGCTTTGCATCGACAACTTCAATCAACCCATGGCTTTCGAATTAAATTTGAACTTTTGAAACGTGGTGTAAAATGCATTGACTCTGCTGCAGATAATTTAACGTTAAGCAAAAGATCTGAGCAATTTATGGCTTTGGTTCATACATTTGAATTTACGTCGATTTCTACCGATGAACTGAGTCGCCTAGAGCAACGAGAAACAAATTTAAAACAGCTCAAATCCATGGCCAAGGCTGAAATCGTTATACCAACTCGTGATTGGTTGGAAATGTCATCTGGTGCAATCAAATATCAATCATCGAATTATGAATGGTATTCAACATTGGTCGATGTGTACGATTTCTTCGCCAGTTATGAGGTGCAGAAGAATACAGCCGCATACAATGTGGCCGATCTGTCGGATTGGAAACTGTTGAATAAACCACAAGGATTAACGATTGATGAGCATAATTTCAATGATTTCATGAATCGCATCAAACGAAGCGCAAACTTTGAACCATCGCCGAGCAAAATCAGTGAGTTGAATGAGATTATAAATACAACTTTGAAATCACTCACAGCCCAGTGCACGGATGCAAAGTTGATAATCGAAGGAAATTTCGTTAAAAGTTCCGATATAAACGAACAATTGGGAAAGTGCCCAAAGCCAAATGGATTGGACGAAATTGTTGTGTATGTGGTCGACACATTTCATGTTGATGGCCTCTTAGCTATAGAAAACAGCAAAAATGCAGTATTGAAAATATTCGCAACAACATGGAATATCCAACCAGGATCCATAATTCAAATGAAAGGAATTGATGGCGAACCACATCCACCGCTAAGCAGTTATGGAACGGCCGGAAAGCCAGGAAATGTTGGCGTGAATTCGGGCAACTTTTTCGGTTTTGCGCGTGACGTTATCAATGGTGATTCATTAACTGTTAAACTAGTGGGCGGAAATGGTGGAAATGGTCAGGACGGCACTGGGAGCGCAGATACATCGGTGAAATTTGAGAATAAACATCATAGCATCACAAAAGATTTCCGTTTCTATAGCTGGGATGAATTTTTGAAAGATATACGTGACATAATTAAGGCAGAAAGTGGAGTTTCTGACATTCGATGCACTGGAAAAACAACCTGGAAAAGTGTTGATATAGGTGCTCGAAAAGGTGAGCATAAGTTCGATTTTCGACTGTTCCCGGACCAGTGTTGCGGTGTTACTGGTTATGGAGGCAAAGGTAATTTATGCCTTTTATTTCGTTTTTTGACCATTTACTTTATTAGTTCACTGGCCACAGTATGGCCACTGCCCATTAACATTAACTTTATTAACTAGTTAAACTTGATGAGCAGCGAATGGAAAATCAAAAAATCTCTTAAAATTATCCGTTCACTCATTGCTCAAGTGTTCGATTTATCAATGTAACATTCATTATACTTTTACGTAATTCCAGGTGGCTTGGGTGGCTTGCCTGGTTCTTTTAGGTTTATAAAATCAGGAAATACCAACTCTAACTCACCCAAACGACGAGTAATTAACGGAGCAAATGGCAGAAATGGAGCGAATGGAAGAGTTTGTAGATCGAATACTCTCGATGTTCACACAACTTTAATGATTACCATAAATATTTTCAACGTACATTCAAACATTGACTTTACGACTAAATCTATTGCCCATCCCAACTGTCTAACTCCCCAATTTGATAGTAGTGACGAAAAGGCTCGACGGCCGAGTCCAACTATCGAGCATTTGGACATTGCATCGGAAATCGTAGAGTATAAACGCTTTCTTTCGGGAAATATGAAAAATCCAACATTTACAGAAATCATACAGAAAACATTCGATGCAATCGATTTAAATTCTGAGATAAACCAAACTATGATGCAACCAAATTATTGATTCAATCCTTTTCAGTTTAATAAATATTATTCTAATACTATACGAGTTTCGCTATACTCAGCAGATAAATTCATTCAAGAAACGACTTTGTTGGAACGACAATTTCTCATTTCGCTTCGCTCAGCATCTTGCTAATGCTGCGCGGCTTGAACAAATTTACTGCGTTTAATTTTGTGTTTTAAGAATTCCAAAAACCAAAAAATTAAAGAAAAAATTATCAATGAGAATCCTAAATATACCTTTTCAAAGTTCAAAGCGATTGTTTTTTTTATTCATGACTCTTTAAATTAATGCATGCTGTTAGCCTAACAGTCGAAATCGACCTGTTAAATATCGCAACATAATGCCGTATACACATAGAAATAAAATGTGGTAGGTTTATGCTATCTATTGGTGACGAGTATAGTTACCACAAGTCTTAGAAAAGTTACCCCACGCACCAAAATATTACTATGCACAGCACACATGCATTTTTTGGTTGGAAAATTCTCTGAAAAGCGCTACTGTGGGAAATCGGGAAATCGGGGAAAGTTCAGACCAGTCTCAATCGATCGGGCGGAAAATTTCATGTGAGGTACCGACCCGAAGGGCGATTTTCAAGCGAAAAAACCATCCATTTCTGAGATAAATGAAAAAATTCGGAAATATCGGCAAGTTTTTTTCATTTATCTC